GGCATTCTTCAATGTAAAGGGTATTCCACCAAAAGTGGTCATCCAGAAGTTGGCCATATCGCAGGGCCGAAAATGAGAAAATGGGAAAATGGACGTCACCCGCGATATTCTAAGCCGAAAAAACTCGTATAATATGTAAAATATTTATATTAAATCATGCATCATTGTATTCATTTCAAATAGCGCTACAACTTTTATTGTCAAAATATGTCAAAATATCCACATTATTGTTATAAAAAAATATGCATACCTCTACGTTCGTTAACAGATGATAGCTTTTAAGTAAAACTACTATGCTCACAATAGAGTTCATCAGTTTGAACCATTTCATTTGATATATGTATATTTGTTATGATCTATTTTATCTCTTTTAATTTAAAAGATAAGAGGGGTGACCAATTTTGGTGGGACACCCTGCATATTTCCTACTTATTTATATTTTAGAATTACAAACTTCTAAATGAAAAATTATATTCTATAGTAGTATGCTCGTAGATTGAAAACAGTGTTCTTCATTTTTAACTAAAAAATTTAATATAAAAAGATTATATATGTATATTTATATATATATGTATATTTTTTTTTAAATAATTTATTACAATAATAGAATTTTATGTGTGTGTGTCGTGTAATTATATAATTATGTGTAATTGTAATATATATTTATTACATCTCGATTAATTTTGTTTGACTAACGCAAATAACTCACATATATTATAAACAAAATAAGGCTAAAAAATTTCATCTATATTCAGATATACTCTGTCATCATCTCATTTACATCTTTTATAACCATTTATAACATATTTTAAATTTACAAGTTTATTATAATTAATTACAAATTTAATCTTCAAAAATATATTTTATTAGTGAGAATCATACACATACACAATTTAAATCTTTGCCTCCAAAAATGTCCAAAACTTCGTTAAAGACTTCTAGTTCACGAATGTTGCTTCATCGCACTAAGTAAACGTTCTTTCGATGTCGTAGAGAAATACGATTAAATAATAATAATATCGAATTCTTTATAAAAAAAGTATATTAAATAAAAATTGACATGTAGCACAATTAAAATAATTACATAGAGTTTTTAATAGTAGAAATATACTAAATAAATGTCATTGTAATTTTTTCTTCTCGCGATTAGGAAAGAACATATATTTCATCTTTTTATTTTATTACAGTTTATGTAATTTATAATAATGTTACTAATATATAGAGCAAATTAGATCTTTATATATTAAGTTTCTGTTATCCCAGTTTACAAGTGTTACTTGGATAGTCATTAATTTGTCTATATTCAATATCAAAATATTAACTGAATATAATTAATTTTTTATAGATGGTCAAAGAAAGATTCAAGATTGAAGCCGTTTGGATTTTGCTGTTCCCTGGATCGCTTCGATCCTCTTTCGAGATACGATCAACAAAGACCACCCTATAAATCTTCATTAATGGCAATAACTTCTGTGCACGAGTGTCCAGTATCCAAGATGCAAATGAAATTTTTCACACCTTGGTTTACCCGAGAAAAGAGGAGGCTGAAGGCGTCGGAGGCTGGAGATCAGCAACGATCGAAGAACGGGAAATTGAATTACTTTCCTTTATTTGGTAGAAAGGATCGTTCTATAAAATGGTATCTAGAAGATGAAATTGCATTGGCAAGGGATATGTTTTGGATGGAAAAGCAAAGAGTTTACAACGAGGCGAGCGACAAAGCAATGAGCATTGGCAAAAAGAAACGTGAGTCTTTACTATATAAATTTTTTAAATAAAAACATCATAAAATAATGGAATATCTATACTTTTATTGCTATTGTAGAGGATGATAAAAGTATGCTAATTTTTCTAAATCTCATTTTATATAAGAATCCTTTAAAATAAGTGAATTTACTTTAATAAAGTTTGATTATTATTTGTAACTGTATACATAATTTCTTGTATGTATGTATTATACTATTAATAAATAGAATATTATTTAATTATTATAGTTAAAGACAAAATGAAAACTTTGTTGAATCTGAAGTACCCACGATGGTATCAAGACTTTTCCCTGGATCAAGTATGATGTAAAAATGAGTAATTAATTTCAAATAGAGAAACTTGTTTTTAAGAAAAATATAATTTAACTCTTGTATCAATATAGTATTAACAATTAAAAAGTTACGATAAATGAAGGACTCTCATTACCTAAGATATTGTCTTAATATTTAAGAAATTTTCAATTAAAATTAAATTATAACTGTGTGAAAAAGTGTTTTATATATATTTCGGAAAACTCACATAAAATCATATAAAAATGTATAGATAAAGAATTTAAAAAACCTGGAAAATGTGATGCGCACCGATTATGAAGAGACAAAAACAGATGGCACACGAAGGACATTGATAGCTATTGGCATTATTTCAACATTTTTCAAATTAAAGCCGAATATTATAAATGAGTTGCATAAATCATGCAATTTGAACAGTATCGATTTTCTACGAGAAATTTATAAAATCTTGACAGGAAATGATTTCTATGAGGAGGAATATAGTAATTTCTCGTTCTATTTTAATTATAGATATAGATAACACACAAAAATAAAAATTCTTTAGCAGAATTTATATAATAACTACAAAATTATTTAATTTGCAGAAAAAATTTATGACTGTAACGAGAGAATAATATTGTCAGCTATTGCATTTTTAACATTGCCAGAAACAGTAAACGAATTGCATAAAAGGTTGCCAGCAATAATTATGCCAAGTTTGCCACCAAAACGTAAGTTTCTTTAATTATCTCATAGCGGTATCTCTCTAAGCGATATTTAATTAAAATATATGAAACAAAATATAAATACAGCTATAATTTTTGTTTTAGCAAAACCACCAGTACCTTTGGCAAGACAGAAAAGCAGCTGTCCTTATAAAGAGGAGTTATTCAAGTGTCTTGATTGGGCCGGTTATCGAAATGCTTTGCAGAAATGGCAGAAACAATACAAACTATTTCAAACTATTCTAACAGTTCCGAAAATAATTTTATTATTCAAGCAACACGATCAATTTTTTATTAATGATAGAACATTGTCTGAGATTAGAAAGCAAAAGAAAGATATTTATATTAACCATCTTGAAAAAACCAGCACAAAGGATTTGCAAAAGAGTTCCTCTAGTAAGTATGATGCAAAAGGTAAATATATTTGAATCAAATACAAAATAGTAATCTTGGGTATATATACTTGGCCTATCTTGATACAAAATATCATAAATAAGTATATTTATTGAAATTTTGATTTATAAATAGATATAGTGAACATTGATGAAGAAGTAATATATGGAGCTAAAGATTTTCCAACACAGGAAAATTTCAAAGCGGAAAAATCATCAACTTCTAGTAGTTATCGAGTGCTAGACGATGACAAGAAATTTGATTTTACAATCAGCAGACTTACCGAAAAACCAGAAACTATGGAATACAAAATTTGTGGTATAAACTTTTGCAATTATGCTTTTTTTAACGTTGTTAATTTTAATTGGAGACAGAAAATCTGATAAAAAATTACATATGTAGGTACATATTTTTTTTATATACATATTAAAAATATAACTATAATCATTACTAATTATTACTAATTACTAGACTATAATTATATGTTAAAAGAAAAACTTTAATTTTTTTGACAACAAATTTAAATGTTTTAGGTGCACCAAAGCCACCAGGAGCAAACCAAAAATCCTGGCTGGGCGAAAAGAATGCTCACTACATAATAGCCGGTGCATCCTCGCAGGGCGAGAATCTACCGAATTGTCCTGTAACTTATGAGATCACCGGTGTGGCTAATGTGACACCCAGCAATAGCGACGAAAAATTCTTTGCAATGCTGAAACTTGATGATAGACCTAAAAAGATCTTTCCCAGTGGCAGAGAAAATTTGTCAAGAAAGTGGCAAGACTGGCTGCGAAATGCTGATGAGAATTTCGAGCAGATGGAGGAAGAAGCTGATGAATTGATAAAGAGTATGCAAACAACCATAAAATTGGCGTTTCCTGAACCCGTTTGCGATAGCTGTTGTTCGTGTCGACAGACACGAAAGACCGACGAGAAATTACAACAAAGCAAGGCGCCGATCGACAATAGCGAGAAAAACAAGTGAGTGATAATATCTAATAACATTATTGCATCTAATTTAAAAAAATAGCTCTATAAATTATAGTTGCTAGTAATTTTAACAATTAATCGTAAAATTTTTGATATCATGGATTTTTATTTACATCTATGTGTGAATTTTGATATTTTTATTGATTCCAATCAATCTATTTATGAGTATTCATAATCCTCGTGTGTCTTTTTATATGAAATAATCACATTGTTCTAAGATTTAAAATTTTGAAAGAAAAACTAAAACACTATAATAAATTTAACGATGTCATGGTTTAAAATACAAGGGTGTTATTAACGACAGGAACGCCGTAGAATTGATGACAATGCATTCTCCTAAGCCGACAACAGGATCACCAATCAAATTGATTGCTTCGCAGAATGAGATCAAGACAAATATCATTATCAATGGCGTTACCAAAGAGAACGGCCAAACTCGATATTATATATCAGGTGCTCAGAGAGACAACATCATACATATACCATCGCGAATACTTGATCCTCCAGTATCTCAGTTGGTCAAGAATGTTCCACCTTGTACATGCGCCATTCAGCAAATGAGCAATAAAGACATAAGTCCTTCTATAAGCGAGGATGACATTCCTTGGACAAAGGACGAAGGAGTGTGCATTGGAAAGAAATACAGACCAAACGAGCCAGGTGCATATTCTTGTAAGACATATCCTGACGATAAATCTTGCAGACGTAATCCTTTCATAAAAGAAGTAATAAGGATGGAGAGGAACAAAAAGGAAAAAGAAAAAAGAGAAAGAGAGAAAGAAAAGACAAACCCTATCGAAGAAGTCAAAAAAGAAATTCAAACTTCAGCGAAGAAAATAATTGAGAAAAAAAAGGATAAATTCATTCCCGATCCTGATTATCCTGCTTATGATGATTATTGGAATATATTACGCACTGCCCCATCGAAAATAATAGAAACAGATTATGAGAAAACCCTGAAATTGACTACTCCAGCATTTCCTACAATCTCTTCATCATTAAATATGCAAGAAAGACAAAAAGACATCTCTTTCTCACAGGAATTAAAGAAAGTTGAAAAGAATATTTTAAATAAGGAAAATAATGAAAAAATTTCTGAAATCTCTTTAAAATCGTCAAAAAAAAATAAAAAAGAAAGAAGCAAAGACAAAGAAGAACTGGAAGATATGGAAAAGAAAAAAAGAAAAGAATGGATGCCTTCGAAAAAAATAATAGTTAACAAGAAAAGTACAAATCTGTCAAGTAACATTTTTAAGTCAATACACGGAACGAAAAAGAAGCAACGAACGAAGTTATTTTTATCATCATTTCGCAGACCAGTTAAACAATCCGACAAAGTTAACAAACTAACCAAATATAGCTCCGTAAAGAAAGACAGGGAGACTTTAATGGATGAAGCTAAGCTCAACAATCGCAAACGAGAAATGGCGAAGATAAAGAATATGTTCAAATCTTTCGCAATTTTAGATGACATCCAACCCGCTATTCTTCCTGAAGAATTACTGGCAATTAGTCGACGTGATCCAGAAGAGATAATTGTCGATTCTCCTGTTGATGAAGAAGAGAGCCGTGCTATCAATAAGGCACCTTGTGGTTGGAGAACAAAGTCGGAGCAGGAACTTCCAGCAAAAAAAACTCTGGCTTATCTCTGCGAACCAGATTATCCTTTGGAGACGGTAGCGGTTCGCCCTGGAGGACGACCGTGTCAGTGTAGAGCAACAAGAAAATCCTTATGTATAACATGGGTGGTCTAATGGAGAAAAAAAGAGATGAGAGAAGAGCTAGGAAGACGAAAATAGAGGAGGAAAATAGAATTATCGATGGTGTTCTTTATTTCACACCACCTGTCAGTCCCCGAAGAAGTGATGAATACATTCCGGAATATGATCTTCTCGAATCGCCGTACGATATGTGCATTAATCACGTTACAGACAAAACATTGAAACTAATAGAAAGATATTCTGGTCCCAAAAGTTTGGTAGAGAAAATACAGAAAAAATCAAAATCATGCAGTTGTAACGACGGCGTCAGGGAAGAGAATCAGCTTGCAGATCAAAAGAAAGACATTGCAGAAACTCGACGGAAATTGATGGAGTCCAAATTGCCAGAAGAAAGATGGAAGACAGCATTAAAGGATGCAGCATTGATGGATTATTTTACACAGCGCAAGAATAATGTTCCTTGTTGGACATCTTGTAAGAAGTTTGCTCAAAGTGCCAGGTTAGAAAAAAAAATCCTAATATCTAATTTGCAATGTCTAACATTAATATATCTAATATCGAATTTCCAACAATGCTTAAACATGATCAATAACAATAATATTTATTGATATTAAAATATTATAAAACATATATAATATATAATTTTAGACCTCGAAGATTGAAAGTTGTGAAGCCTGTATGCGAATGTAAATATGAAAGAAAGATCGTGGAACGAAATGAAGAGAGAACTAAGTGGAAGACACATAAAAAAAAACTAAAGGCTTTAGAAAAGCAGCCTTTCATGCAGATTGTCAATATTTCGAGACCGATGATAGAAGACACGAAATTCATTATATCAGGCGTAAAGACAATGCCGCTGGAAGACGAGCATAAAAAAGACATCAAGTATTGTATATCGGATGTGGCAAAAAATATTTCTATGTTGCCGCCTCAGCAGATAATCGATGGCCTGAAAATATCAACACCGTTCCAAACACCACAACCGAGCAGAGAACATATTCTACGAGCTGATATTCCGCACCGACATTGGTCGCCGACGAACATTCCTCCGGGTCCATTGCCGAGGAAAGACGCCGCGTTGAAGGAAGAAATGGAGCGCAGAAAAAATGCAAGGGATGAAGCGTTTAGGTTGATTTATGAGGATAAGAATAAACAAGATGCATCTTGTTTACATCGTAATTACCAAGAAGTTTCTGACAAGAAGGAATTAATGACGTGCCACGAAACAAATTTAAGTCAAATGGATGTAGAAAAGAAGACGTCCAAAAAAATAATAGGATTACAGTCACCAAGCAAAAAGATTGGCAACAAGATAGAACATCGCAAAGATATATCTCATAAAAAAATTGCTAGTAAAGTATTTAATGAAAAGGAAAAATATTTCGAAAAAACCACTAATGAGATTGCACAACAAGATGTATTATACAAACAAACAATTGATAAGATAGGCGAAAAGATTGATGATGAAAGGCATCTGATAAGTGATGGTGATGATGAGAAACGTATAGATAGCAAGCTTAATCTTATGGCAATAATAAAAGTATTTCCATCCATCTCCTTTCTTAATCTAATAATTTCGAAAAATATTCATATCTTTATCAATTAATTACCTCATGATTAATTATGATATCAATATCATTTATTAATTTATATATGAATTCATATATCTCGAATTTAAAATGTAACATTAGGCTGAATTGAAGAAAATGGCTGCAGAAGGGTATATATTCGCCAAGTTGCCGAAATGCTATCTGATGCCACAATTTCAAGACTGGATTATGTACAGGCAGTGCATCACCTTTTCGGAAACTGACAAAAGTAATTTGTTCACAAAATGCCATTTTTAAGACACTTAAATTTCTTACTTTTTATTTTCTTTATTATTATATGATTTTCTATTTTCTCAGAAAATTTGATGCGGGCGACTGTTCGCGCGTGGCACTTACTAGAAACGGCGAGAATGCCAAAGATTGAGAAACCATCATTACACATGACAAAGTGTCAGCTAAAAAAATTGACTTATAATCAAGCTGAGGAAATAAAGGAAAAGGTCAACTATCGATATCAACCATTTTTAATATTTGTGAATTTAAATATAAAAGACGTACATATATTAAACTTCTGACATCCTATATATATTTCAGAGATTTCATAATATTTTCTGATTTTTCAATTTATGTCTTTTTTCTCTTTTTTTATTTTTAATATAATTGCTAATATAAATTTTTAATTCTTTTAAATCTAAAATTGATTATTTATCTGCCAATTTGGAGTAACTATAATTATATATCGATTTGCGTTTTGCAGATTCAAGAGGCAAGGGCGATTTTCCACAGTAAAGTACGTAAAGCGCGCGTTTCTTACGCTCGTACCATATGGGATACCATGGAATCTGGAAAATTCCCTTCTACGTCGTTTAAGAGAATCTTCTTCACATATATGGCCAGCAAAGAATCAGATGGATACGTTTATAAGCCATGGTTGCCTTCCGAAGTTCAGGATCTTACTTGCTACTAGTACATAATTTTTATTTAATAAATATAGATATATTTGTATATAATATTCATTAAATGTAATTAATCATTTTAAATTTTTTAATACATAATATAATATAAATTTATTCAATATTTGTATGTTTTATCAGTTATCTGCTGTTCTTTTTTTAATTAACAATTTATTTTTAAATAACAAAATTTTAATTTTTTTTTCTTTTGCGAAAATCTTATTAATTTTATCGATAATAATTCCTCTTCTCAAAACTTGATAAAAGATCTGTTTTTCATAGTTGAACTGGCTGCATTAGTTATATAAAGTTATTCAGCTATAAAGAATAAATCGAATTACATTTTTATCATTAGAGACCATTTCACAAATCCAATAAAAGCTTCAGAGTCTGGCCACATTTGTTTTCAAGCGTTCGCAGCAGTTTGTTTAATCTCAACATAACCTCTAATAAATACGGAAATTTAATACTAATACAAGAAGAAAAAAACTTTCATCGGAATAAACATGATATCCACAAAAATATTTTTTGATTAAAGTAAATAAATAATTTAAAATTATAGAAATTATTTAACAATTTCAGCAAAATGACGACTGGTATATTAACATTTTTATGTAAAACTGTTTGTTACTTTGTAAAATTAAGTTTTGTTTATATATTTATCTATTTAAATCTTCAGAAATAGAGACGAGCCTGTTGGTGATCATATTAGATGTCAATCCTGTACAACGAATAGTGAAACAAGAGACAAAGATATTGTCACAATGTCTGGACTCTATGATCGTCTTTGCCAATGCTCATCTCATGCAGTCGTCTAATAATGAACTGGCGATCATGGCATGCCATGGTCACAGTGCCAAATTTCTCTACCCATGTGAGAACGCGGCAGAAATAAGACAGATAGATGGCCAGTATGAAAAGTTTACTATGGTAGAGCGTACAGTGCGTCAGCAGTTGCAGCAAGTTATCAACGAGATCTCCATGGATACTCCATTAACCACAGAAAGTCTCATCTCGGGTGCCCTTAGTATGTCATTATGTTACATTGCTCGATTGGAACGAGAAAAGGTGGCCAGCCAGAAACTATACCCCAGAATATTGGTGATCACTGCCAGCAACGACTCGGCCATACAATACATGAACTATATGAACATATTTTTCACAGCACAGAGAATGGTATTTATTAGATTTCTATCATAATGATTTATGATTATGATTTATAATGAAAAAGATTTGCCTGGATGTTTTCAGAATGTGATTTTGGACGTGTGCAGTCTGGATCAAGAACTAACACTCTTGCAACAGGGCTGTGAAATTACTGGTGGCAATTATCTGCAGGTGCCACAACTTGCTGGATTGCTCCAATATTTGTTGGTAAATTATTAATGCTTGATTCTATGCAGTTATGTACTGAAATAAAAATATATATATTATTTCTTTTATGATTTAGTGGGTTTTCCTGCCAGATCCCAGTGTTAGATCGAAATTAGTTCTGCCGCCACCAGTGAAGGTAAACTATAGAGCAGCATGCTTCTGTCATCAGGACCTTATTGACATTGGATATGTTTGTTCCATATGTTTGTCAAGTAAGTATTACTATACAATTATATCAAATAACCACAAATATTTTAATTTATGTGTGGCATGATGAAATTAAATTTAAACAATAATGTTGACAATAATACTCAATTTATTTATTACTTATTAATACTAAATGTATTAACGTAATATAATGTATAAAACAATTGAATTATTATTTTTACAGTTTTCTGCAAATATAGTCCAATATGTACAACTTGTCAGTAAGTATTTTTGTAATATTATAATGGATTCTATTATATATAATTACTCTGTAATTAATGATAATGAATACTATATTTATGACATATTACATATAATATACTGATTGCACTATATTAAATATAGTTGCAGTTAAGTTTGATATATAATTATAAATTACATTCTAATCTTTCATTTTATTTTTTTTAAGTACGGTATTCAAGATGCCAGGACCTATGCCAATGAAGATAAAGAAAAAGAAAAAAACTATAGATATCGTTCATTAATATGTTACATACTCCATAATAATTATACTTTATATACATATTTAAAAAATGTCGTAAAATATAAAAAGAGGTTGATATATAATTTATAAATCGCAATGATTAATGACTATGACCAAATAGAAATTAATCAACTGTCGAATCTACGAAATAAAAAAATATATTGATTGGCATAATTTTGTTGCCTGTTCATCTGATTTGTGTATTCGACGTCCATTGTTATGTTGTGGGTCGATTATGCGTAGGTGGATGCTGTTGCGGTATGTAACCAATGCGTTCCTGGATTTCGCTCTGAGGAACCTTACCCCCCCATGTGGGAGGATTCATAGCAGATGATGATTTTTTCTCGGGATCCTTTTTGGCTTCGTGTGCTTTCCTTATCTCTTCATATTCTTGCAGGTCATCCAAACGCATCTCTATGCGTGTCGGGCTTCGTCGTATCATTATACTGAAAAAAAAAAAGACAAAAAATGACTATACTCTTATGCGATGAAAATTAATTAAAAGACAAAAAGATAATTTTATTTCTCTTGATTTTCTCTTCACGATATCTAAAAATACTTAATATATTTAAGAGTTATAAATTATAGCTAACAGCACACGAATATTCTAAAATTAAATGTGTGAACTAATAGTTGACAATTCCCTCTTCTTCAATCAATGAAATTTAATTTAACTAATAATTTCCCATTTATTTTTTTTTTTAGAAATTTATTTTAAAAATTTTATTTAGAAATTTAATCAAGCATAGAAATATAGAGACGTATCGAGGATATCTCTCTAATCGGGCACCGGACCCTTTAAGTTACATTCCTGTCTCACGTGTAATATGGCGAGATAGATGACAATGCCCCGAATAATCAGAAATCGAGCTGTATCATCCTAATCGAGGTCGTTCCTCGACAACTCCGTTGTTATACCAGTCATACATTTTCGAAAACCCCTCGGATAGAGCCTCGGCCTATAGGCTTGGAAAGCGTTAAAAGCGCCTCGAAAAAAATGCGGAGGCGGAGGGGCTGGACAGACACACGCGAGCACGCTTTCGATCGGGCAGCTCTTTACCCGAAAAATTGACGCGGAATTATACGACTTCCCGGCCACGAGGGGCGGATACTAGTCGATTATACTGATCGTGGACGATCGGCGACGCGGGAAGATGCTCTACCTCGAGGATTACGTCGAAAGTGCGTACGATGAGAGTCGCGCTCGATCCACCAGCGAGATTCTAACCTCGTCTCGTGGAGCTAAAACCGCCTCGATTCGAAATCGCGAGCCCGCGACGAACGCCATTTTTGTTTATGTCTCAATCCGCGTTTCCTTTTGCAATTCCTATTAGAGCCGTTTGCGAATTGTTTTTGTAAAATGATGGGAAATTGGGTTTACTACTCGACACGATATCCCGTCGAGAGGTTAGGCGCATGTTCGTCGACATAGCCAATTATTGTTATGCAATGGAGATAATTAATATTTAAATATTTTTAAACTCTGCTGGCGAATGTTGAATTTCATTGGTGTCGTATTTTTAGGATTAAAAATTGATTCTAATATTTTGCTCCTTTTTTAGGATCATTATAAATATTAACACCGATGTTTTGCTAATATAATATAAAGATAAATAATAATGATAGAGAAGAATAATAATGATAAGCATTGTAATTTTGCAATAAACTTGCTCATTTATTAAATTTGTTAATAAATGAGAGAAATTAATATTAAGTCACAATATTTCTAACTTTAAGATTTTTGTTTGTTAAATTGTTACATAAATCATATCAAATATTACGAATGAAATATAAATAGCTAATTCAAAAGTAATTATGTTTAAACTTAAGTTTAAATTTAAGTTTACACTTACAAAAGACTAATTTCTCTTTAATGTTTGTCATATGTATTCCAGTGATCGAACATCTTCCACAAGAACTGAGGGATCGATTTACCGAGATGAGAGAAATGGATCTAGGTGTACAAAGTATATATTCTTTGATATAATAAAGACAGCAGCGATAAGAGTAGCAATAGTAATAAATAAAATAGTGATAACAATTGATATTTTTTATTGATATTTTCAGATTCTATGGATAGCCTGGAGAAGAAAGTGAAGACATTATTTTGCAATGCCAAGAAGATGAAGCCCAGCGAAAAAGAGGCGGAATACGAGGCTATTAGAAGAGAATACTACAAGACTCTGGAGGATGCCGATGAAAAAGTGCATTTAGCTAATCAGATGTACGACTTGGTAGACAGGTATCTGAGGAGGCTCGATCAGGAGCTGCACAAGTTTAAGATGGAACTGGAAGCAGACAATAAGGGCATTACCGAAATCTTGGAGAAGAGATCTTTGGAACTGGACCAGCCTCCCACAAATAGTAGCCAAAAAGAAAATCGTTACAGTTTTACACCAAGCAGAACGCGGGATAATCATAGCCATTGTAAGTTTCTAATGTCAATTTTTCTTTCATGTCAACTGCTTTCCATTTTTAAAGATAAATAAAGGTAGTATATTATGTTAAATTCACGAAAACATTAATACTCCTTGCAGGCACATTTTTAAGATAAAATGTAAAATCGTCTGTAAAATTCATCGATTAGAACAAATCTATTATACCAAAAAATAAAGTATGATCGGTAACAATATTCCTAGACAAGAATAATTACCAAGTTTTATTTTGAATTTCAGCTCGATCCGAAAAGCGGCGAGACTCCAACGCATCTTCCACGTCTGTCGAAAAAAGACTGGCGATTGAGAAACTGCCGGCGACGACGAGTCTGCCAGAGTCGCGGCCAGCGTCAGCGAATTCCGGGCCTATTATCGCAACGAGCAATGTCGCGCCGACGCCAGCAACTATCGCTAATTCCGTCGGATCGGTATGCTACAATCTCGGTCACATCGGGGCAGGTGGTAATGCCATCGCGGCGGCTGCATCCCAAGCGATCGCAGCCACACAGTCGATGCAGCAAGGCAGACGCTCGGCCAGTTTGAAAGCAAGCTACGAGGCCATTAATACTGGCGGCGTACATGCAGCAGAATTCAGCAGAGAGCTAGCTGGCGCAGCGCAAACTGCTATCGCAGCCATCCAAGAGACTACAAAGAAGCATAAAAAGTAAATAAAAGGAAGGAAGCAAACTCTGATTGCTCTGTTTATTATTAGATTATTTCTATGAAAATCTAATTATTTGAATCAATTACATTTTGAATGTCTCTGTGGAAATTAGTGAAATGAATGTCTTATGTTGTAAAAATGTATGTTCAGGATATTTTATATATTTTATAGTGGATTTTTGAAAGAGATGAGATATTTCTTCTAAGATGTTTTAAATTAAAATTAATTAATTGAATATTTTACATTATAAATCTTAAATTAACAATACTTTATATATAATCGCTTTTATCTTATTTTATAAAAGATTTTTTTATATGACTTTTTAAAAAAATACGTTGCAATCTCGAATTATAGGAAAGTAACTGCCACTGTGCCGAGTTCAAGCGTGATCGCAGCCACGGTTCA